TACACTTTTCACTTAATATTAAAGACCAGCCGCATTTCAAGTGTTTAATTGCCACCTGTGGCTAGTGGCTACTGTGTTGGATGGTGCAATTCTAGAAGCTTCCAACTTTTATAACTTGATGCCTCTGATCTGTAGGCTCAGAATATAGATGACCAAAGTAGTGGGAATAGTGTCCAGAGTAAGAATGACAGAATTCTGATTGAGAGCCCGTGGGCTTACCTGGAAGTGAATCTTGTGGAGTTGGGGAGTATAGGCTTGTAAATATTGGTTTGTTTGCTCATACTCTTTCTGAGCTAACCCCAGCTCTTTTCTCAATTCCAGATAGTTTAAGTAAGTTATAAATAAAGTGGAGGCATTGCTGTACTTATTTAAATAACGGATTAACAAAGAATTTAGACATTGGTCCTCTGATTATGTAGTCTAAATACTGGATTGAGAAAGAAGCATTTTAAACATCCCTAAGAATAAAACAAATTAGGCCTTTTGTTTTCTGAAAATTAGAGAAACGTGATATGCCACGATAGCCATCTTGATTTTACTTTGGAAAACCCTTCTGTGAAAGCTTATTGGAGAAATCTGATTAGCTTCCTGCCTTTTCTCCTTTAGCAAGGTCAAGGGTGCAATTGTCACTATCTTAATAATCTCAGGAAAATGAAACATGAATATACTGCATAGACCTGATTGGGTTTGTCATGTCACACATTGTCTTAAACTCCATAATTCTCTTCAGTAAGGAATCCTTTCCATGACAATAGATTTGTTTTAAAACGAAAAACTTTTCAAGCTGGCATTGGTAATTGTGGTTGCAAGTATGTTTTCAAAGTCAGGGAGCATTTGTTTTGCTTTGAATGTATTTTTAAATGCTTGTTATCTCAAATGTTGTAAAGCTGTTATTGATTATCATTTTGCCAAAAAAAACTAAAGGTTCTAATATATTCCAGAATGGTAGGTATGTCCACAGTATCAAGGGTATTCTTTTTTTGGATTTAAGGAAATGCTTCCCAATCTTTTTCACATCATGGGTGTAAATGCTATCTACGGAGGCATAACAACCTGCACACTCCTTAGCTTAAAGTGACAACAAACAATAAATATCTTGCCCAGTTCCTGTGGATTAGGAATTTGGGAGTGGTTTAGCTGGGCAGTCTGACTTGAAGTCTTGCAAGATGTTGGCCAGAGCTGCCATCATCTGAAGGCTTGACTGAAGCTGGTGGATCCTATTCCAAGGTGGCTCATTGATAACATTGGACAGTTGGTGCTCGTCGTTGATGGGAGGCCTCAGTTCTTCTCTATGTGAACCTGTCCCCAGACCACATGACTGGCCTCATGGCATGACTGCTGATTTCCCCTAGGGTGAATGATTCACAAGAAGCAAGGCAAAAGTGGCAATGTCATTTATGACCTAGCCTCAGAAGTCATACTCCCTCATGTCTGCTATATTCTGTTTTTTAGAAGCAAGTCACCAAGTTCAGTCCACATTCAAGGGGAGGAGAATTAGGCTCTACATTTTGAATGGAGGAATGGTAAATAATTTTTGAATATATTTTAAAATCACCATAATGGAACACATTAAAATTTTGTACTTGTTGTCTCACTGGGATAAATGGACAAAGATACTTGCTGCTAGAGATGACCAGGCTTGGAGCTCTGGCTGCCCAGAGTCCCTCCCAGAGGGCTGGGTTAATCAATCTCAAGTAATATTTATAACCCAGCCCACAGGTGCACCACGGCACACCACTTGGGAAGCCCTGGCCTAAGTGTAGTCCTCAGTTGGCAATCTTTTGTAAGGGATAGAAAACCAAACTCAAATTGGTGTTTTTAAAGGGGATGATGGAGTTCAGTGGCTCACTTAGAATAATCCAGAGGTAGTACTGGTTCAGACCCAGCTAGATTCAAGACCCACACAATATGTCCTGGGTCATCTCTGCTTCCTTTTGTTTGGCTCCATCCTCAGGCTTTCAGCAGTGGTCTCTGGAAATTCCAAGCTCATCCATCATGGCAAAGGCAGTCCTGAGCTTCACAACCTTGTACCACCAACCTCCACAAAGAAGAGAGGTTCTGTGTTCCAGAATGCCCACTGGAATTCCTTGGGTTCACTCTGATTGGAATGGCTCATGCTAACCAAGGCTCGTGCACTAGAAATGGGGTCAATGTCAACTCAACCCACATGGCAAACAATAGAGGGACTGGTAATTCCTCAAGGAACTGGAAAGAAAGGGAAAAGGAAGCAAAACAAGCCACGGGGGCTCACTGCAGAACATTTTGCTTTAAAGCAAATGTATTCAGAAGAAGGAATTTGTGTGGAGATCAGGATTACAGTTTATTTCATATCATGTTCACAACCTCTGACCTGGCAGGACCATCCCCAGGAGGGAAGACGATGGGAATATGCAGTATATGAAGGAGGACCTGGAGCTTATCGCATCCTGAAGAAGAGTGGGGATGGGTAGATGTGGGTGGGATGTTTTGCTGTACCAGTAATTCATCCTTTGGAGTGTCTTGCTAAAAATGGTGCAAACGATCAGGAATTGGAACCATAGAGCTGAGGGCAGGGAGGGGCACTGGTAGAAGAGTGAGGGCAGCAGGGAAGTAGAATAGATATTAGGTTTGATTGGGAAAAGTCAAGCATCAAGGTTGTGTCTTGTGCTCATCACTGTATCCCCAGTGCCTGGCCCATAGTGGGCACTCGATGAATGTTGTAAATAACCAAATTAATGAATAGAGGTGGCCATCAGTGGTGATTTCTGCCAAACTTTTCCTTTTCTGTAGCTCTGAGCTAAAAGCAGCACCTAAAGGAGGGCAGATGATTAGGGTCAATTGGCCCCAGAAGAATAGTTTTCCATTCACTCGTGACTTTACCTATTATCAAGGCCTGGGCAAGAATTAAGAGGATTTTTTTCCCTTTTCTGATGATTTCTCTTGAATCATCCTACACCTTATCCTTAATAATCTTAAACCCAACCTCACAGAGCCTGATTAAAAACTGAAATCTCTGATGGTCACTAAGTTTTCAGTCATAGGATTAGTGGAGGAAATGCAGCATAGCCTGGGTTGAAAACTATTTGGAGAGCTGTCCACCTACCTGATCCCTAAGGCCTTGATGCTGCCACACATCTTGGGGAGCATTGCTCTCTCTAGAATGATGCTACCGAGTCCAACCCAGTTCCCAGTCTGACGATGATCTTTGTGGCATTAGCTTGACAGCTAAAGGACTTTCACCTTTGCTATTTTCCTCATACTTCAGAAGATGGCAAGTCACTGGTAGCAAGGATAAGGGAGTGATTTTCAAGGTGGTACAGCTCTAAAGGATGCAGTTGAGAAATCAGCTCTCTTGTCCCTTACCAGTTCCTTTATGCAGTGAGAGAACAGGACACGGATGAACAAATTGTTCTGTTAGTCAACAGGATTATCAGGGTTATTAGTGAAATAATTTTTAAAAAGACTACGTGACTGCCAAAAGTCTCTGGACCAAGGATCAGAAGTCCTGGTTTCTTATTCTTCCACTTTCTAGTCCGGCAACTCTGGCCAAGTTGCTATACCTTTCTGAGCTTCAGGGTTTTCCCCCTGTAAAATAGGGATAAGAGTTGCTCTGTCTTCTTCCAACCCGCTGAGGAAATCCAGTGAGATAATTAATGCATGGGAACGTGTTTTAGAAACTCAAAAGTGCTGCCCCGAATGTAAGGAAGCACTATTTACAACCGACACCTCCAGAAAGTTTAGCCAGGCCCCCACACGTTGCATCCGCTGCTGGAAACATCAATCAAAAGCAGGCCAAAGGTGCGGGAAGGACAGAGGCCTGACTTCCCAGAAAATAAATGCCTGGTCTATTCAACTTGCAGTGCCAGTGCACGTTGTCTGCCAAAGGCCAACAGCAAAAGCCTTCAGGGTAGAAGGAAGAAAGGGTATCAGTGGAACTGAGAGGGTACACAGTGGCGCCTGGAAACGCAATCCGATCTGGCTTCCCTTCTCCTCGCGTGCAGCATGTCTCCAGTACATTCCTCTGGAAGGTAAATACACGGATTCCAACAGCCCACCTGTGTGTTCCCCAGCCTGTAAGTGCCCCCTGAGGGTATCAAAGCACACCAAGTCCACTTGAAACAAAGCCACAGAGCGGCAAGTTTCCCCGATAGTAATAGGGAAGAAAGACAGGACTTGGCAGCCATGACGGATTTGCAATAATTAAGCTCATGTTGCTTGTTTAGAAGCACGGGTTTATCTGCACCCTTGCCTGCTTCACTCAATCGGACGCAGCCGGGACGCGAATGTCTCTAGATGCATATTAAGTAAAAAGTTTCCTAAAGAAGATTGCTGCGTGGAGCCCAGCAATTGATTAAGAAACTCAATGGCCCTAAACCACCGAGAACCGAGCGAAAAGAAAGAGACCCCACCAAGCGCAGTAGTTTAAATGGGGCCTAGAGAAATCAAGCAACCCCCTGGGGTTTTAAAGCGCATGCGCATGGGGTGTTCTTGGCTTTAGGAGCAGAAAAGTGCTTCCGCATAGGGGCGGCGTGTTAATGGGAAGAGACGATCCTGCGCAACATCAGCCAAGGGATTCAGAGATGCTTGGGGGCCTTTTTTCTCAGGAGTTGTGCAGCTGCAGGAAAAGGAGTCGAAGTGGGAATCAAGTAAAGTAATATCGTGAGAAATGAGCATAGTCCTAAAATCTCCTTCCTGGGCCCCCTCCAACTGGAGGAACTGAGAAGGTGCAACTAAATGTGTATTTGTGATGAAAGGGTGAGAGGAAATGCGAGGGAGAGGGGTCTAGTGAAGTCTCCCGAGAGGAACCTTCCACCTCTGCCCAGGCTTGATTTTCACCTGCCTGAGCTCTGATTCTCATGGCAAGCCCAAACAGCTGAGAGGGCAAGCGGGACAGCCTTTCCACAAAGATGAGGAAATGAGACCAAGTCCCTGCCCTAAGAGAGCACCCCCACTCCAGCGGGGGCACATGTGTGCACACAGCTGTGGTTGAAGTTCGAAACAGTCCCCGCCCTTCATTACACCCGAGCTCCAATTTGGAACCTAGCCAAGGCTAATCCCCCACTCCACACTTGGTTCTTGAAATTTTCTTCCGTTTCCCACTCACCCCTCATTGGCCTCGCACTCTCTAGTTTTATCTGTCTCAGACTGTCTCCTTCACTTGATTGGAAGTTCCCTGAGGCCAAGAGCTATCCCTCTTTTTATCGGTGAAGAGATTGAAGATCAGGAAGTTCTTATCCAAGTAGACACTAGCCATCCTGGGCAGTTAAGACAGACTTGTTCATAGTTCATGTGGTGATTCTTGTCATATAAACTAGACATCAGAAAATTTAAATTCTCCTTCAACTAAATAATACCAAGTTTACTGTTTTGCAAGGAGCTAGTCAAAGTCATGTTAATAGAGGAAATATTTCTTCAAATAACACTAGATTGTGTTGTCGCTGGAAATATTAAAGCTTACCAGGTTGAAGTTGCTTGTTTTTTAGGTGATGAATGAAAAAAATCGACCACAGCTCTCACTGTGGGAACTGCGATCTGATCACCCACCACCGTCTCCTCCACCTACTGGGCTGAACCTTGTCTTTCAGAGCTGATGGAGCTGGCACAGGAAAGCCCACAGCACCAGTGGAGGCTGTAAATGCTGGAGTTTGCAAGCAAGTGCCAAGAAGGAATCAAGGAGGGGAACTATGTGCTGAGGCAAAAAGATGGGGTTTCCCAAGAGGACACTGGACTGAGGGTGTGAAAGAAGGAACTATAAGAGGGGAGGATGGGAGAGATGGGGTGGGGACACACTAAGCAGAGAGAGGTCAAGAGATGGGCTATCTGTGTAGGAATCCCTCGGCTGAGAGCCTTTCTGCCATCTTGCCTAGAATGAGACAGAATCAAGTAAGATAAAGTCACAATTTCTGGTCCTTCTTCACTCAGCTGTTCTGTGAGGTTAATCACATTTTAGTAAAAGAATGCATTCTCCTAAACCTCCATTGTAGGTAGATGTTGCCACATAAGGACATGTGAGCCAGCCAGCAAGCACAAGGAATGATAAAAAGAAATCCGATCCCCACACTCCCTTCCCTCTTTGCTTCAGTCAGAAGTAGCAAGAAACGCCTGTATGTGACTGAAAAGGGGCCTTGCTCCTCTAGGGCCAAGGTTTTATCCCCATAGGCCCAGACATGGTCTTGTATAATTATTGGCACTTCATAAATATAATAAATAAAGACAAGCATTTCCATCAGTTTCTATGCCCACCTTATCCACAGCCCCTTGTTGAAAGCCTTCCCTGCCCACAGTCTGAAGGGGCAGTTGTCTCTTCTGAGTGACCAGGTTCCTGCTCCCCCCAGACCATGGCTGACTGACCAAGGAAACCAATGTGAGGCAAGGCACAGCCTCAGGCCCTGAGTTTCTAACTCTTATTTCCGCTTTCCTCAGGTGTGGTTACCCTCGTTTCTATGGGATTTCTGACCCTCTACCATAGCTCTCTCTTTTAATGAGGTAGCTTGGGTGGGTTTCTGCCTCTTAGCACCAAAGGCTCTCTGTCAGGACCTGATTGCTTATGGGAATGCTGCAAGAAGGAAATGGAGGTGAGGTGGATGGCCACAAAGACTTCCCTGCTCCTCCCCTTGAAACAAGATGGCCGTGTGAATTGTTTTGGCTCTCAAGAGGCAGCAAAGTGATACTGTGTGAGTTCTGGTCTAGGTGTTAAGAAGCTTGCCAGATCTTCTTTCACCCTCTTGGAGCTCTGAGCCACTATGGAAAGAGATCTAGATACATAATTTGTAGGGCCCAGTATAAAATGAAAATGCAGGGTCCCTTGTTTAAAAATTGTTAAGAATTGTAAGGCAGTGGCAAAAGAGCATTAAATCAAGCAGGGGCCCTTCTGGGTGTGGGGCCCTGTGTGACTGCACATGTTGCACACCTATGAAGCTGGCCCTCTGGCCACCCTGATTGAGTGACCTCATGGAAAGAGAGAGATCCCTGGCCATGTGCTAGCTGTTCCAGCCATCGCAGCCAAGGTGCCTGACGTGGGAGTGAAGACACCTTGGATTTCCAGCCCCAGTTGAACCTCCTGAGGGGAGGCATGAGTGCATGAATGACTCCGGGTGAGACCAGCAAAGAACCACTGAGGTGAGTCCAACCCAGATTGCAGAACCTTGAGCAAATACATGGTTGTTATCCAAGTAAGGCTTACTAAAGCTCTCACAGCAAATGGGCCTAGTCTTTAGGGCCACTTACTTGAGATGGTTTGTCATACAGCAGTGGAGAACTGAGACAGGAGGAAAGAGAACTCACAGCGACTGACCCCCGCTGTGCTCCAGGCCCTATGCTGGTGTTTTGCATGTGCTGGCTCACCTGATCCTCGCAACAACCTGGGCTGTGATTCCTGTTTACACGAGAGGCTACTGTAGTTCTGTGAGCGAGGCATTGGCCCCACCGCTCCACAGTCAGTAAGTGGCAGCGGCAGAATTTGAACCTGAGTCTGACTGATTCCACAACCCGTATAATATCCCTACAATGAAACAAAGAAAGATCCAGGGAAGGTGCACGGAGACTATTAAGTAGGGATCTGATGCAGTCTTTCCCAAGTTTCCTCACAAATCCCATGGATGAAATGTCAGACAGGGAAATGATCACCATGTGAAAGATCCCTAATGGGCATCACTTCACAGCTCTACCATCTTCTCCCATAATTCATATGATCCTGGGTGACCTAGAAGTATCCTACAGTGAGGCTTTCTCTGGTTTTCTGATAGGCCTGATACTAAGAAAATCTGATGTGGTTAGCTAGGGGTAGTCACCACTTATTTATATGTGGATTATCCCCCGACGAACCTCAGGCATCTGCGGTCATCTGGGAATGTGTCCAGGCAATGATCTTGCCCTCAGAAGGAACAAGAGTTAATTTCAACATTAGATTAAGCCAGAGTTAATTAAGGAGCTGAAACACCTGTCCCTATGTGATGACATCTAACAAAAAAAGACTTTCTATTTATATTATTCACTGTTTTGAATTTTCTTTACCGAGGCTTCTTGAGTGTCATCAAGGGGTGAGTGAGTGTGTAGGTAGGTGCCTGTCCGTCTGACTGTCTGCCTGTGGGTGGTGAACTCATCACACTAGGTCAGCCATGAGATCACGGTTAAATGCTAAGTCAGCCTTCAGTGAAATAGCGACATTCCCTAGCACAGAGGAAATGCTGGAGAGCAGTGTGGACTAGTGTTTATGAGCACAGCTCTGGAATCAAAGGTACTGAGGTTCAATTCCTAGTCCTTCCTCTTACTCATTAGTGATTGCAATGGACTGAATGTTTGTGTCCCCCCAAAATTCATATGTTGAAACCCTAACGCCCAATGTGATAGTATTAGGAAGTTGGGCCTTTGGGAGGTGATTAGGTCATGAGTGTGGAGCCTTCCTGAATGGGATTAGTGCCCTTATAAAAGGAACCTCAGAGAACTCACTCTCTCTCTTTCTGCCATGTGAGGACACAGCAAGGAGTGAGGTGTCTACACCCAGAAGAAAGACCTCACCAGACACTGAATCTGTTGGCACCTTGATCTCAGACTTCCAGCCTCCAAACTGTGAGAAATCAATTTCTGTTGTTTCTAGGCCACCCAGTCTATGGCACTTTGTAATAGCAGCTGAGACAGAGATGTTAGGCAAATTGATAAACTTCATAAGCCTCAGTGTCTCACTTATCTGTAAAGTGAGATATGTGAGGACTAAATGAGATAAAGCACCTGACACATTCAACAAGGGGCCAGGCCTAGGACAAGGGCTTGATAAATGTTAGCTGTTGTTTCATTTGATGGGCAAAAGAAGGTAAACCTTGGTTCTTTGATTCTGCCCTGCCTTTTCTCCTCATCCTTTCTCTAAAAGTGTCTGTGTGTAATTTCTGTCATCCCTCCACTCTCCCATCATCTGCCGTTGTCTTGTCCACTCTACCCATCCCCGTCTTGCTCTCTCTAGCCCCACATTCCTTTGCCTTCTTCCCCTGAACTGAGGTTGAGCATGGGGGAGATCAGAACAGGACAAAAGGCAGCGAGACGTTGGTGTTACGGTGGCAGTGCAGCTCTGCGGGGCTGTCTAGACTTTCCCATCTCTGGGGATACCAGTTTTCCAGGACTCCTAACATTACGAGAAACCTCAGCAATCACCTGATGATGCCCAAACCCCTCCCTCATTTTATGGGTAAGGAAACTAAACCATAGAGAGGACCTTTAGTGGCCTCCCGATGGTATTGGACAAGGCTGGGCAAGAACTCAGGTCTCCAGATTCTTATCCGAAAGAAAAGGAGAAGGCCAAGCCCATGTTTCCATCTCAGCCAGGATCTCCTGTCTTCCCCAAAGCACCTTACCTACTTTCTCACCCAGCTGTGGAAATAGCAAATTGTACCAAGATTTTGGCCATAATGGACTCTCCTCCGTGCCTACTAAGAAGCTCATCTCCTGGGACAGCAATAGAAATAATATTAATAAATAATAACCATTGCCTTTTTTTGAAAGCTTACTATTTTCTAAGTGGTGTGTTAAGTACCAACGTATCTTATTTAATGGATTTTTTCTTTACTATGTTAAAAACTTTAAATTTGCAGCATTGGAGTCTGACTTCTGAGCCAAAGTGAGCAAAAGCAAAAAAGATACAAATGTGTTTTCTAAAGTTTTTTCCCCCAGATTAGCTCTGTTATGTTGTACAAGTTGCCTTTTCTAAGCCCCATTTCTCAGCTGTTCAGTGGGGTTATGGACATCTACAGGGTTATTGTAAAGTTCAAAAGCAAAGTTCAAAAGTTCAAAATACTTGTCTGACACTAAGTATTCAATAAACAATAATTATTGTCATTACTCCATTTTGCAATTTCAGCAGAGGTTGTCAGGGAGTTTGGGTGATAGGCAAGAAGGTAAAGGACATTATGGAAAGTCTGAGAAACTGTAATAAGGATAATATATTTAAATATATTGTTTTCTTTTATATTCTGTGAACGACTTTTCCCCTGATTGCTCTGAGATATCTCTATGCCTTGGGGAGGATTGAGATTTTTATAGCAGGAATGCAAAGAGAAAAAAAAGTACAGGGCCAGCTTTCAAGTTTTGAATTTGAGTTTGTAGAAAGACAGTCTTCAAAAGTCAGAGGTTGTAGAAAAAGAAAAGGATTTTCTAAATTCCTGTCACTCCCATTAACATAGCAAGGGTCAGAATATTGGACCTGAACTCTAACCTATTGGTAGAGAAAACTGAGGTTTGACATAGGGATGTCCTTGCTAAACAGAAAAGATGGGATGTTTTTCCTTTCCAAACTAGGCGAGTGCTGCGAGAAGATGAGACAGAGGTTGGAGAGGAAAATGTGAGTCTTATGTGTCCTGGCATCTCTATTCAGGGCTGAGATCATGGGTGGAAGATAAAGTGAGAGGAAGGAACCCTGAAAGGACAGGGAATCTGTATCCTGTTCCTCATTTGAGACTCAGCCAAGGGACCCTCACACAAGTGGCCCCTGCCAATAGGTAGCACTGAAGGAGAATAAAAATTACAGCACGAGTCTTTCAGCATTTGGCTTGGAGGAAGCCAAGGTGCAACTTTCTCTGGTTGTCCTGCATCTGGGTTCATCAGACACCAGTCGCCTCTGCCATCTTACCTAAGTTCAACCCCAAGGAAATTAAAGTCATATACCTGAGGTGTGCCAGTTGGGGAGTCAGTGCCACATCTGCCCTGGCCCCCCCAAGATTGGATCCCTGGGTCTGTCTCCAAAAAAGGTAGGTAATGACGTTGTCAAGGCAACTGGTGAAGGAAAGGGTCTAAAGATTACAGTAAAACTGACCATTCAGAACAGACAGGTCAGACTGAGGTGGTACCTTTTGTCTCTGCCTTGATCATCAAAGCCCTCTAGGGATCACCCAGAGACAGAAAGAAGCAGAAAAACATTGAGCACGGTGGAAATAGCACTTTTGATGGGATTGTCAACATTGCCAGACAGATGCGGCACTGATATTTAGTCAGAGAACTCTCTGGAACTGTTAAAGAGATCCTGGTGCTTGCCCAGTCTGTGGGCGGCAGTGTTGATGGCCACCACCTCATGATATCATAGATGACATCAACAGTGGTGCAGTTGTAGTTAAGAACTACAAAGGAAGATATTTGAATAAAGGATTATTTGACAACACAGCATGGTTGTCAGGTAGAAGGTCTGCACAAGTGCTTCTGAGCCTCCTCAGCCCCAGGCAGCACAGGAAGTACTGAGACATCTCTACATGTCCTTGAGGATGAGGGTGCAGCTGAGTTGAGAGTCAGGTTGCCATGGCAAGGGATGGGCTACCCAGCCTAAGCCAGTGACCAGATGAGGGATGTGGCTGAGACACAGAGGGGTCTAGAACACAAAATTTATTTAAACAGCCTATTGTTTAACATTTGGATTGTACCTAATTATTTGCTATTGAAATGATGCTATTTAAAATCATTTGCATGTAGACTTCCTCTTCTTTGGGATTTTTACTTACAAGAGAAGGGAATTCCTGTTTATTGATCACCTCTGTGCCAGGAGGCTAGCCACATTAGGTTCATTTCCATTAGCCAAATTTTTCAAAAGAGGAAGGAGAGGCTAAGAGAATCAGATGACTCTGTTAAGGTGATTTAGCTACTAAGTGACATTCACTTGAAAACATGCATCTTAAGATCAATGGATTACTGCAAACTGCAAAGGACAATACTTTCTAAAAGTATATAAGAAAAGTTCCACAGGATAAAAACATATTAGACTTTTGTGGGGGCTACAACTGAAGGAGGAGAGAAAAATCCAAATAGTTTTCCATTTCCTCTGCTATAGCAGCTCCTTTCTTCTCCGACTAACAGCCTGGGGTCTTCCTGACCTTTGGCTCCCCCATAAGGAAGTTCATGACAACATTGTTTTCAGAAGCCAATACCGTATCCTCCTGTCTCTACTTGCAAGAAAATAACTGGGCTCCCAGTAAGTATAATTGGCTGTTAACAGTGATTTATTATACACCCAGTTCTCCAGGTGGCCCTTCATATGTAGATTATTTTTCCTGAAAACAGAAAAATATGGAACTTTTTCTTATCTCATCAGGTTATGA